CAGGACAGTAGAAAAGGTAGCGATGGTCAACTCTATCAAATGCCTTGGACTGATCCAAATTGATCAGCGCGGCACACTCGTCGTCTTTACACCCTCTATGATCGTGCGGATCAAATGCAGGTTGCTCTGAATTGTTCGACCCCTCACAGAACAGGTCTGCTCGGGACCCAACAGAGACTCGGCAACTGACTGCAAGCGCTCCTGCAGGATCTTGGCCATAATCTTTAACTCTGTGTTTAGCAGAGTTATGGGCCTGTAGTCGTCTAGCTTCCCCCCAACACCCTTTTTCAACAGCGTGATCACACCCCTGGAGAACCGGAACCAGTTGTTGAAGACGACCGTCAAAATCGGGACAAAGATGTGCGACAGCCTCAAGTACACTTCATAGGGCAGACCATCCAGACCGGGCGACTTGCCTCTGCCGACCTTCTTACAAAAAATTGAGACCTCGCCCTCGGTAACCTCTCCCTCGCAGCTAGCCGCTTCAGTCGGCGAAGCCGAGGAAAGTCAGCCAAATAGCTGTAAACTCGTCCTCACGAAGACCAGGCTCCCTGGTAAACGGCTCTCGAAATGCCGCCAACGCGCCAAGACATTTCGCCAGTGGCCCGAACGGTGCGCCCTTCCGGGTTTTGATTTTCACGAATATAAAGTTGGCAAAACGAAGTCTCGGGATATAGAACAGCTGCAGCGGTCCCACTTAGAGAAGTATGCTCTGAGATTTCTTCCCGAATCATCAAGACGAGGACGAAAGATCATCCGTAACCCGAAGTATCAATAAAATGTAGCGGAGAGTGTTGTGATATACTTATAATTCTTTGTATTCATTCAGTTAATTATTTAATACCTTCTACTTATCTGCATACGAACTGTGTTTTCGCGTTGGTTCACGTCACGTGATTTTGTGTTTATAAATAACGGTGGGACGCCTCTATCTTTCTCTCTGGCGTTCATATCTTCTCTAACTATGTAACTGGTAACTATGTATGCTTTTCTTTATGCTGAATAAAACCTTATATTCTACTTTCTAAAAAGGTCTCTTTTCATCACAGTTATATTTCTTTCCCTCATGACTTTTAAAACAAAACTATAATTTTAAATAAACAATAACTCTGCATAAAATTAAAAAATTATAAAAATTACAATGTTTAGATTTTAAATTTTTATAAAAAGTTAAAATGAAAATCAGCTTATCCGCAATTGTTTTTCAAAGGGGAATTTTTTTTTTTTTTTTAGAAAATTCGAAAACCTTTAAAGAAAGTACTGATTTTTAAAGTCTTTAACATTCCTACAAAGTTTTTCTAAAATAAAAACGTAAGTCTTTCTAAATAAATAAAAATAGTTTAAAGCTTTAATTCATTTTTCATTTCAAATTCAGTTGAAATAAAGAGCAAGAACATGCTTTTCATTTCATAGTAACAACACGTAAGTTTTTTACTTAATACTTAAAACATCGTGTTTTTTGTTTCAAACTTAAAAAAATAATAATAATCTTTGCATTTATTAACCAAGAATAAACATTTAAATAAAGAAAAATCCCTAAAAGTAAAAGAACATTTTCTACTTATTCTCTTCATACACTTATTTTAATTAAATAATTTAATTAAAAATGAGACACTGTGACATGAACTCTACAAAATTTTTATACTTTTTTTATTTATTCTAATTCTAATTTTACTCTCTTTATTAGTCTTTTGATTTAATGTTTCTAGTAAAAATTTTAATAATCAAATACTTTTTATCAAATAACCAAACATTTCATTAAAATAAAAATGGGAAAATTATTTTTAAAATTGGAGTTTTTACTTGAATTCTTGACGCTTATATTGTCTCAAAGCAAACTGATTGTTTAATGTTAGTTTATATCATCAGAAAAACTTAAGCAATACAATGTCTGAGCGCTATTACACTTTCACACCACCCGACTAAAAAGTAAGAAACACAACCACAACTTTCATTTATTAAATGAAAAGAAACTTATTTTTAAAAGTCTTATAAAAAAGTTTAACTTTATAAAATTAATCTAAAATAACAACAGTTGGACTGTTGCAATTAATTAAATTTAATTTGCATTTACAAACATTTAGCAATAGTTTTTTTTTTTTTGCTGTCAAAAGATAGAGAAATGAAATGTATTATTTAAATTTAAAATCCACAAATCATGAAAAATATATTAAGAAAAAAGGGAAATTTATTCTTATTTGTTTTTTTAAACTAAAAAAGAACTGAAGACAAAAAAAATATCATGTGGTTGACAGTGGTCATTGGGGTGCGAAATTGTAAAAGCTCCCAATGTCTGTTTCTTGGACAACATTGCATTTTTTTTGCTTAAAATTTTCAATTTAATTTTTACCACAATTTCTTTAAATAAATATATCGAGAAATTATACAATTATATACAAAAATAACATCTGAAACAGAACATTCAGGATAAACAATATTTTTTAAATCTTTTCATATTCAATTTATTTTCAATTTTCATTTTTTTTTCTTGTCCAAATTTGAAACGCTAATGTTGTAAAAAATGGTCATTCATTTTTAGATTAAAAAAAAAATGTCACACTTACAGTGTCATTGAAATTATTTTTTCCAAAACTGTCTTTTTTTCTTTTCTTTACCTTGAGGGGCAAGTTGTAAACGGCAATATTTTTCAATGTTATCTTGCCGAAAAACTTTCAATAGTCTTTCTTTACTTTACTTAACTCTTGTTTCCCCTCTTCTCAAACGCCGGTTTCCAAAATTATCGTCTGCTTTCTTCAAATTTTACGCCCAAGAATTTCGGGGGAAAAAAATACGCCAATTCTCAAATTTTATCTTATTGAAATATTTTTTTATTAATAATAATAAAATAAAACTAAAACAAATAGACAATTTTGTTTTAGTTTTCTTTTATTAATTTCGTAATGTTTTTATAAAAATATTAAATTCATTCAACAGCGACTTTGTTTTTGTTTCTTTTCTTTTCTTAAATAATTCGTTACTGTTAAAAATTAATTTCAAATCAAATCATTTTTTTAAATTACTAAAAAAGAATATATTTTTAACATTTTTATACTTTGAAAATATTGACATTTCTCAAGTCCACCATGAATTTCTTAATCATTTACTTTTGTTTTGATGAACCAGACCTGCATTAAATCTCAGTCCGCGAATAAACAAAGTAAACAAAGAAAGAATAATAATAATAATAATAATTAATTGGCTTCTCCACACGAATTCATCACGAAATATAAAAAAATCAATAGTCAAAAAACCTATTTCATCGCTGGGTAGAGGAATAATAATGTCCCGCTTCTTATCAAATAATTCAGCCATTTACAGACTCAGAGACTTAATGATTGATTGATTGATTGATGATGGACAGGTGGTCATATTTATTTAATAATGGTATCTTAGCCGTTTCCTGAAGTAAACATTCGGCACTGACAGAACAGCCAGTGCTAGTTTCGGTTGAAATTTTTTATAAAATCTTTCTCTTCCAGGAAAATAGATTTCTCAAGTCCAGTAACTATTATTGCTCTTTCCAGTGTTGATAGGGGCTTTTTCAGTAAACTTTTTGTTTTAAGTAGTGTGGAACATCAACATCTTGATTATGCCATTATTTCTCTTTGAGTTTGTTGTTTTGATGGTTGTTGCTGATTCTTGTTGGCCTTGTTTTGAAGTTGAAAGCGTTTACTGCTAATCACCTTCAGAGTAAAAGGGAAGTTGATGCTGTAGCTGAGACCAAACAAGAGAAAGAAAGGGCCACTGAAACTCTGCTGTTGTACCAAAACGAGGAATAAAATAATGATATCTAACAATTTGAATAACGACAATGCTAACAGAGAAAATGTGTTCTTTGAAGGGTTAAAGAGTTTGTCAAAGGTCTGTTGAAACAAAGTTTGAGAAAAAATGTCAATGTATATACCAATGTGTGAGTGTGTGTGTAATATATGTAGGTGTGAAAATTGATATATTGTATGTGTGTGTGAGTGTATTTGTTTAGAAAGAAGTAACTCATTTCAGAGGTTTCTTTTTCTGTGGTCAAGGTAGTTGATGTTTGGAGCAAAACTTTTATCCCACTTGTGTTGCTCTGAATAAATTCCCAAATGCATCATGTGTGGTCCTGTGTGTAGTTGTTGTGTGTACTTCTGTATGTGTTTTGGGTGTGTCCTTATATGCCAGGGATAGGCTCCAAATGAAAGCCAAAATGGATGTTTTTGGTTGTGTTCACCTTAGTTAGAAAGGGTTACATGGTGTGCTTAATGCAAGTCTGCTTTGTGTGCCACTAAGTCTGCTTTTACATGGCTATTTTTAATCATGATGAAATTGAGAATTTATAAATCTATTTTATTTATCTATTTTCAAAGTCCCAACAAGTTTAATGTGATATTCATTTTAGTTGTTGCTGCTGCTAAAAGTCCTCAAGAGATGTGGTTTCTATTATTTGGAACAATTTTTTGTTCATGATTCTATAGCAGCAGTTCACAAGGTTTGAAGAAGGATGGTTTTGCTAAGAGGTACAGTTTTCATTCTCTTGAAGCCATTTCTAACCAATGATCTGAGAAAGTGGTTGCATACAGCTGACAGTTTAGATATTTTTGCATGTCTCAGTCTGATGAGGCTATTTAAGAACATAACTCAAGGTTTTAGGTTAATGTTTTGGTTTTGTAGCTTCTTGCAGTGTTGGACAAAACTACCTCTAGCACAGCCTATTCTATATTTAATTTCCTTATCTCCTATACTAAATTTGTTATAACTGATCCATGCACCAAGGTATTTGAAGTGTTTAGTATTTACTACTTCCACAGTATTTTTATGATGAGTTCAAGGTAGATGCCATCACTGCTTTCATTCCAATTCCAGATCATAGTTTCCTTTTTAGAAAGGTTTATCTTGAGTCTTATTTATTGGAACACTTGGTAGAGAATGTTATTTTTTTTGTTCAAGATCATTCTTATCCTAACTATGTATTTGCTTTTAAATCAACCTATCTTTAATTTTTTCTCTCTTTTTTTTTCCAGATTCAGAAGGTTCGGATTATTCTCTTGCTCGCCCACCAGAGCAGTCACCCAACATCAATATCAAAACCACAAAACCAAGATTCAACTGTCCTGGAGATGCAAAAATGACTTCCAAGCGTTTGTTTCAACCAATCATTGCTCAAATTCCTCAAACTAAACTGAAACCTGTCTCAATAGACAGCACTTCGTCTGGTTCACATTCCCACCCCAGCAATCAACACGATAACAGGAGACGATCCTCAGACCTAAAACAACCTCTGTCTGTTGCCCATGTGGCAGCACCTCCTGTAGATTCAGATTATGTTGAGCCTGCAACTTCAGAGAGTGGCAGTTCTGACACCTACTCTCAACCTAGTAGCATCTCTGGGAGCCGGAGACGTACCTCTGACTTCAAACAGACGTCGCTGCAGCGTCAAGCAAATATCCCAGATTCGGACTATCTTGAACCAGTAACGTCTGATAGCGGCAACTCAGAGACCTACTCACAGCCTGGCAGTACATCGGAGAGCCGGAGACCCTCTTCTGATCCGAAACCATGCTCAGATTATCTTGAGCCAATTTCAGCTGACAGTGGATCGGACACTTATTCGCAACCTTGGAGTCTACCGAAGCAGAAGAAAAAGATCCTACAGAAACAAATATCCCATTCTGACTACTTGGAACCGGTGGATCAGTCTGTCAGGTTACCGACCAGAACACCACCACGGGTACCCCACCCAGATTATCCAGGCTTGTTAGAACAATCAAAACACCCTGTACAGACAGCAGCAGCCACAAAGTATCATGTTGTAGAACCAGAATCACAAAGCCACACGCGGGCGCCACACACACAAAACCATTGACCCACGAGTCTCTGTTGATGGAAGATGTTAAGTTGTTTGTGAATGTTTTTATATGACTGTCATTTGCTGTACAAAATTCTTCAATTCTTTTCCTGATAAAGCATAAATTTTTATTACTTAAGATTTTTGGCCTTTTTTATGTGTTGTTTTGTACTTTTGAAAAGAAGAAAGGAAATTTTTTTCTTTTATGTCTTAAAATTCATGCTTTTAACAAAATGGACATATTATGGATTTATTTTTTTTATTGTATATGTTATTTTTATGAATGAGGATTTTATTTTAATATCGGAGAATTCTTTATGTCAATAGTGATGATTATATGCCTATTTTCTGTTTTGAGATTTTATTGAAATTTGAGTGTGTGACAATTTTTTATTATTTTTTCTTGTTTCTCGTTTTGTTTAATTTTTTGGTTATTTTCAAGGATGCAAGTTTTTATATTATTTCATGTATTTTTCATTTTTTAAAATCTCATTTGAAGAATTTTCTGTTGGTTTAGTGTAAAAAATTGGTTTTATTTCTTTTTACTTATTTAAAAAAATTGTGATGCCAAGGAAACAAAAATTCTTTTACTGCTTAGTATTTTTGTGATTTGTTTTTTGAAAGTTTTGTTTATTCTAATGAGCAGACATGTTTTTTGTATAAAATTTATAATGTTTTTTTTTCTTGTTATTGTATGTTAACTTTCTTTTACGAGAATGCTAATGTGTCTATTTTAGAGTTAAAGAGAAGCTACAATTTAATTTAATTTTTAGAATGGAATCTTTTTAAAGCTTGAAGAAGATTTTTCATTACTTTGAAAAAATATACCAACAAAAATAAGGGAAAATGAAGAAATAAATTAAAAGCAAAAAAGACAATTATACATATATATAAAAGGCATAAATATTTACTCATTAAAAACACTGATTTTCATCTAAATTTAATTCATGCAATAATAAGCATAGATTTTCCTAAATGGAATATTTTAATAATGGAATTTGTTAAGACATTATAATGTTAGCGAACTGTTTATGCATGCAAGATATAGGGAGGATATTCCAAAATATTCCTTCACTTAAACAATTATATATATATATCCAACTTTAAAACTACTTTATGATAAAAGGTTTGAGATCTATTCTCTGTGTCTTCTGCAACTACTATAGAAATGCCTGTAAAAGTCACAGGGAAACTCTCCAAGATCTTAATTTGCAAAGTCATTATATAGATAATATATGCCAAAAACAAATACAGAAATCAAGCACATGCCCAAATTTCCATAGTAGGTATTTATCCAAATACCTACTTGAATAGAGCATGGCACAAGGCCAAAGCAAGAATCCTACATGTACAAGTGATAAAGAATAAAACTACTCAAGCCTCCTGAGCATTTCCCCTTCAAACACATCATGTACTAGCAATTAAGCCTAAACCTTCATTATGGGAAAAGAACTGCTTAAAGGGATGAGCCCCTGATGCTTCAGCACTTTATTTAACCTCAGTGCGGTTCTGACAAAGCAAGGTAAGTATATTTCGATAGTACATTTATTGTGTGAGCAGATATAAAAAAAATAATTATTCAAAAAGTTTGATGATTTGTATTTATCAATGTTACTAAAAAGAAAAAATGTGTGGAAAAGGACTTCATTGATATACCCAAGGTTTTCCAACTTGGGTGATACCGCCTGCCAGTGGGTGATTTCAATTGTTAGGTGGGCGATGAGCAACAGGACAGAAAATAGTGGGCAATGAGCAACTAAAAATGAGCAAATGGAAATTTTGGTGGATGATATAGGATTTTGAATATTAAAAAGGTATTTCAACATATGTCACAAACAAATATTCAAAGGCGATAAAAAGAAACAGAAGGCTAAATGGGAATAACTGTGTCACATTTTTTGTAAACACTTGCAGTGCTAACCCTAGCCATAAAACTAACCTTGACCATAATACTTAATTATATATACAGTTTTCAATGGTCAAGTTTCCTTTCATTTTTCTTTAATATGGAAGCAGCTGCTGCTGCTGCATAAGTCACCATTATTTGTTACCACCCTTTGGTATTTTTTGCTACATTGTAAAGTCAGTTTTCCCAAACAATTTTGGTATGCTTTTGAATATTTACTATATATATGAATATATTTACTATACTGGTGGGCAGTGGAAAACTTTTTCCATTTGAAAGTAGGCAATGATGCAAAATAGGTTGGGGACCCCTGGATAATACCTATAGCATACAAATTTGTCCATTTTGTCCCCAACCTGATAGAATAATTTGTAATAAACAATTTTTGGTCATGTTGATTTTGGAGAAAAAGAACAGAGCATTCACAAGTTTCCAAACCGCTGTTTTGTGAAACCGACTAGAAAGAGAATGCTTCTCAGATCTGCAATCTTAAACTGTTAAAGTCTAGGGTTAATGGTTATCTTACCCATATATCAGCAGAAACTATGCTTCTTACTCTGTAATACACCACCTCGAGTGGCTTTTGGGCCTTGTACAGTGTGAACATTATTGTCAAAAATTAAAAATTAGGAATCAATGAAATTCATAACTGAAGCATTAAAAATATAATTTGAAGATTTGTTGAAACAAGTTTGATTAGTCAATTTTTATGCAGTGCATTGGAAAGCAATAAAAAGGATTGTTTGTAGCCATTGTAGATTTACCAAGAATGTGACTCCTTGATAACATCAGATTGGGTAGATGATCCTTGACAAGTTCCTGAAAACCATAGCACGGGTTAATCCAGGCCATGTGAGTGAAATTAGGAAGGCAAAGCCGATCAGAAATCACTGATGGTTATACTAGTATGAAGTTAAAATTCATGACCTAAGTTTTCAATTTACTGGCTTTGTTTAACTACAGATCATACAAGATTATGCATTCTCTCCCAGAAACAGTAACTAAAGCCTGCTTTGCATGATGGCAGTATAAACTACAGCTTGGCTCTGTTGGTGTTGAAGAAACACAAATGTACTTGAGCAGGCATCTACAAGAAGGATTAGCTAGTCACTCTCATGAATGGGTATACTAAGACAATGCCATTGTCATTATATATATATATATATATATATATATATATATATATATATATATGGCGGACTTTCCCATTGATTTTGATATACAGGGACCTAAAAATCTCAATCAGTTTTAATGTTTGTATCTTATGTGACATTTCAGTCCTGCTAATGACCGGCATACAAGTCCACATATTGTGCAACAGCAAGGATCTTGTGACATAGCTACAGGAATATTTGCTGATGCTTTTCGCTGTTGTCTTTTGTCTCAATATGACTGATTTCAAAATTTCTGACACCACTCTGGCACAGATATTATTTTTATCCAGGGGCAACTTACTCAAAGTTAGTATGATGCACATTGATAAATGAAAGGTTACTCTTTAGTTTGTCTTTATATCTGAGCCATGACCATCCAACAGTCCTTCATCCAATGTCAAGCTGGCTATACATGAGGACCTTAGGTATTCTGTCATTACTCATCCTTGCACTATGACCAGCCCTGAAAAGTTGTGACTACATTAAGTGTTGGAGATTGTGGACTTCTCAGGGGTTCATTGTTGCTAAGCTCCTGCATTCTTGGTTGGTGATGATGACCATTCTGTGTATTGCTGAGTGATTCCTAAGTAAAACTAAAGATATTTACAGATGTCTGCTCTTTGGTCTTTTTCTTCTTTCATCTTCTATGCTACTCTGTTCTTCAAAGAGCCACAAGACTTTTCCTCAAGAAAACTTGTAGTAGATAATGATTCTCCTTATTGGCCACTTTACAATGCATTTTAAGAGTTCTCAGCTCTTTCTGCAACTGTTGGATTTTACTAGCTCGGCAATTCTTTTTGAATAGTTTTTTATGTTTCCCTGTTTGTGTGTTGCCAAATATCTCAGCTGCATAATTGATTGAACCTCCACTTGGCTATTGTCTGAAGGATGCTGTATATATCCTCTTCAAACATTTGCTAGGTCATCTTATGATTTTCAGGAGTTCACTTAGTCCATTGTTGAACTATTATTCATGGAATTAGAGCACAGGTGCATTGAGGAACTGGGCATTGCAAAAAAAATCCTGACCCTTCCTGCATCTCATGAGAAATTGTTCCTGTGCATTGAATATGCTTCTTTTTCAAGCACTCCATTCAAGTTTGGTGTATTCTAAGGTTGTCAGATTCTCATATTTTTTGCTGTAAATGGATCTTGCATTCATCATTATCTACCCATTAATATGGATTGAAATCCTTGCAACTGTTATGCTATGAATCTCATTCTCCTCTCCACTCAGGATCCCTTAGGGGCTTACTTCATAATATTTACTTGTAGCTTACATAGGTTGATTCCTCACATTAAATAAAAAACAGGCTGCTAGTATAACTTGTCATATTGCTGTATTCCTGTGCTGTCAACTAATTCTCTTATCATTACTAACATATACAGGGTTATTATCTGGTCTTTTTCCAAATATCACAGGCTATCCAAAATTTTATCTAGCAAGCAAGTATCAAAGAACAATACTTCTAGTGAGTTTGATCTTCACAACACCTGTATAGGAGGTTTCATCTTGACATAAGAGTTAAAAAGCTAGCTTCACTCTTTAATACTTCCAATTAAAGATTCTGAATGGATATGTGCATGGTTTAATGATTACTCATGTGGAAAGTGGGATCGGTATGTCAAATTCCAACCAAAGCCATTACATATGATTTCACACAAATAAAGATAGTAAATCTTGGTAAAGATAGGAATCAAACTATCCCCTCCTGCTTGGGGTCAATAGCAGAGGAAACTGGGTTCTCTAGCTTTGGTTGACAACTAGTCTAGAAATGGGATAACTCTGAATTCAAAACTGGTTGAGCATGAGGCTAGCAATGTCACTTTATAAAACCTACTTACTACAGAAGCCACACCTAGCATGGTGAAGCTGTGGACGTATACTCCACAGGGGTATCTGCAGGATTAACAGAAATTCAATGACTTTGATTTTCATTATACCTATACATGATATC